TACAGCGTCAAGATAGATTTCTATTGTATTGTATATGCTTTGGAAGTGACATAGACCTCATCAGATACAGTTGTGAGAAGGTTATGCTCCTTCATTCAAGTTAATTGGAAAAGGAAAATGTCACGTTCTGAACACTTGAAGGGTTACTCCAACTCCAAAAAAATGAAAAAAATTTGTTTAAAAAAGAACTCAAGGGAATGCTCTCTGGTGATCACCTGTACCATTTCTTATTTAATGAAGAAAAGTATAAAAACACTGTATGCAGCTTTAACTTCTTGCAGTAGGACAAGCTGTATGGCATATATAGTGCTAGTAGTGTCTCAAAAGTAATTAATATCTAAAAATAACTATTGATTATGCCAAGAGAATCAAAAAGAAAGGTATTGAGCAAGGAAAGGGTTCAATTCTGGCTTTAAAAGCAGAGGGATACAGGGAGCATCAGGTTGCTTCCATCCTTAAAATTTCAAAGACTGCAGTTCATAAGAATAAAGTCAAGCAGCAGACACTAAGGTGAAAGCTATAGACTGGCAGAGGACAAAAATGACTCTCCACTGACAGGGATGACCGCCAACTCATTCAAATGTCCCTCAACAACTGCAGGATACCATTAAGTGACCTGCAAAAATAATGTGAAATGTGAGATGGAGTTAAGTGCATGGAGAGGACAGATCAAAACAGGCTCCTTGGGGCAGGGCTGTAGTCATACAAAGCTAGAAAAAAAGCCTTTCATCAAAAGGAAGCAAAGACAAGCCATGTTGTGGTTTGCAAAACATGATAAGGATTGGACCATAGAAGACTGGAATGAGGTCTTCTCTGCTAAGTCCCATTTTCAACTTTTTCCAACACCTGATAGTCTAATGGTTAGACTAAAACCTGGAAAGACCTAAAAGGCACAGTGTCTTGCACCCACTGTGAATTTGATGGAGGATTGTCTGATGCCCTTCAGCAAGGCTAAAATTAGGCAATTCTTTTTTAAATACTATGAAGTATTTTGCTGGCCTATCCTGCATACATTTAAGACTAAGGCATTTCTTTTGGTATGAACTGCAATTTGCCCAAATATGAGCCAATGGGTGATGATTAGTGATGTCGCGAACCCGAAATTTTCGGTTCGCGAACGGCGAACGCGAACTTCCGCAAATGTTCGCGAACCGGCGAACCGCCCGAAACGCCATTGACTTCAATGGGGAGGCGAATTTTAAAACACACAGGGACTCTTTCTGGCCACAATAGGGATGGAAAAGTTGTTTCAAGGGGACTAACACCTGGACTATGGCATGCCGGAGGGGGATCCATGGCAAAACTCCCATGGAAAATTACACAGTTGATGTAGAGTCTGCTCTTAATCCATAAAGGGCATAAATCACCTAACATTCCTAAATCACAATGGATATGGATTGACACCTGACATATGGCATATTGACACCTTGACATATGGATTGACACCTGTCCTCAGAGCCCCTGATGCACACGGACACAGAGCAGAATAGAGACTGGTCCCCCTACATAGGGTCACTTGGCAGATATGGATTGACACCTGTCCTAAGGATCCCTGATACACACTGACACAGAGCAGAATAGGGACTGTTCCCCCTACATCGGGTCACTTGGCAGATATGGATTGACACCCGTCCTAAGGTTCCCTGGTACACACTGACACAGAGCAGAATAGGGACTGGTCCCCCTACATCGGGTCACTTGGCAGATATGGATTGACACCTTGTTACAAACTGCTATTTGTAACGGGCCCTTTAAATGGCAGATTGCCCTGCTTCCCTGGGTTGTGGAGAAGCCTACTTGCCAGCCTCCTCCCGCATGACTATGGCCCCTGGGAGATTGTGAAAATGTATGCACTTTATTTGGTGTGTATGGCCCTTTAAGACTGTCGGTGGGCATATTGGGGCTTATGGACTCTTTATGTGACTGGTGCTGGCCCTTTAAACACCTTTTTTGGGACATCAGGAAGATTGGGACACTGCCCCTTTAAGGCCGTGTCCCCAGACTTGTTGGGGACACGGCCCCTTTAAGACGGTGTCCCCTGTGTCCCCAGACCTGGTGCAAACCCTTTGTGCCTGCCTTGCTATTTCCCACTTGGTTCAGTAAATGGGAAATTATTTCAGCTGCAGAGACTAAGTCCCATTCGGCGATGGGACTTAGTCTTTTTTTCAGCCGCTTTTTTCAGCCTTATTTCAGCTGCAGAGACTAAGTCCCATTCGGCGATGGGACTTAGTCTTTTTTTCAGCCGTTTTTTCAGCCTTATTTCAGCTGCAGAGACTAAGTCCCATTCGGCGATGGGACTTAGTCTTTTTTTCAGCCTTATTTCAGCTGCAGAGACTAAGTCCCATTCGCGATGGGACTTAGTCGTTTTTTTCAGCCTGAAATAGACCGACCTCACAGCCCAAATCTATGGAACTGTTTTGGGCAGGAAAATGTGCTTGCGGTCGGTCATAAAGGGACCTCCAGCTAACTTTTTAACCCCTGGATGGATTTGGCTGATTTTTGGTTATGTTTATGTTTTAAGTGTGCTGATTCCAAATATGTAATTATGAAGATGGATGTGTAGTTTTAAAGTTACAGGGTATGGCTAAAAACTGTATTTTTACTGCCTGTGTTTAATTATGTTAATCTCTTCCCAAACGTCATTTCGTTCAAAGTGGAGAGAATGTTAAAAAAAAATATTTTTGTTCGGAGTGTGAGAAATGCTTTTCAGCCGCCTCTAATCTTAAGCATCATTTGAGGAGCCATACAGGAGAGAAACCTTATTTGTGGTGTGTTTAGTATTGTTCTGATCAGTTTAATACCTTCCGCGCCTCCTATCAGTGGACGTGTATATGGCAGCCATTTTAGGAACCGTACACCTGGGACCCGAGCAAGGTCACCTTGTTCAACAGGCGACAACATTTGTCCCTGGAAAACTATCCTGGACATTCTGTACAATTTGTATGGATATGGCAGTGATTTCCTGTAACAGGGAGATGGAAGAAGAGGCTTGGTCGGTCCTCTTACTGCAAATTTGGGGCACTGCGCGGTCAAGCTAATGTGACACCAGATAGGAGTGGTGTGTTTAGTATTTTTCTGATCAGTTTAATACCTTCCGCGTCTCCTATCAGTGGACGTGTATATGGCAGCCATTTTAGGAACCGCATACCTGGGACCCGAGCAAGGTCACCTCGTTCAACAGGC